AAATTAGTGTAAAGAGAGAAAATACATCTTGTTGGAAAGTCCCTGACACACCATGAAATATGATCAGTGTCAGTTATATAAACTACAAACGTCAACTAAATGGGTACAACCTCACCATTAATCGTGAGTGGATTAAGTACTTAATACATCATAAATTGTGTAGTTCTGTAACAGGTGACTGGGGGATCAAACAAAAGAGGTTTTATTATTCTATAGTAATGATTTTTACCTAAAACTAGAGGCCTGTGGATGATAGTTTAACCTGTAGCAACTGATTTTGGCCACTTGGGACAGTGGAAGCAAGCTGTGAACCCAAATAGACATTAAAATTACTTTTTAAATTGATATGAAGAACTTGATAGCAAACCATTGCTTATTTCCACATCCAGCAGTTATGTGGAGTTGTGTATGTGTCACCTGATGAAATTAAATCCAGTATTCTTTCTCTTTGAGCTCTGTTTTAGTTCTACGCCAACTCCTGAGGAAAATATCTGTCTTTTCAGCTGCTAAATGCTCCACTTTGATCACCAGCTTGTGTCTAACTGTGTTGGCCTGCTGTTTGCTGTGGGGAATGTACTATGCTTTAACACTAAAAACACACAAATTAAAGGTTCATCTATGAGCAACAAGAAACAGGTTGTTCGGACAGGTGTTCAGGACAGATGGATTAGTAAAATTGAACTAGTAAGTAACAACTTAGCTGGCTTGCTGTGTCTTGTGGTGTTTGACTTGCTTGATATTTTCCTGTGTTAGAAAAGTTGTCTAGTCGAGCACAAAGCAGCCACAAGATATACATCTCAAATGGATTTTAGCAAACTTACAAGAGGAAGTTTCTCAACTGCTTTCAAAATGACCCTGGTCACACCCTTACTCCTACTAATGCTCGAGCCGAGAACCATCGGCAAGTTTCACGTCTACAATTTCTATCCAAAACAATCGAAAGGGTGGTCTTCAAACAGGTCTCAGAATATCTGTCTGGTTTTAAGAGTGGCCACTCCACTGAAACAGCTCTGTTGACTGTAACAGAAGCCCTATGATCAGCTAAAGCTGCAACCCAGTATTCGGTTCTTATCCTGCTACACCCATCAGCTGCCTTTGACACAGTCAACCACAACATCTTTCTATCCACAGTATGAGCAATGGGGCATATTGGGCACAGCGCCCCAGTAGTTCAAATCCTACCCTTCTGGGCGATCTTACATTGTGGCTTGGGAAGACAATTGTCCTTCTCTCATTGCCTCTCCACAGGGGTGCCCCAAAGCTCAGTGCTAGGGTCCCTTCTCTTCTCAATTTACACCACCTCACTGGGGCTGAGCATTTGCTCGCCTAGCTTCTCCCACCACTGCTACATAGACAATATGCAACTCTAACTGTCTTTCCTGCCAGACAACTCCACAGTCTCAGCAAATTGGCTGAAAAACTGTCTCCTCTCCCATCACTCCAACCAAGGTGGTGTGAAGCTTGGGTGTCCAATGGATGACCAACTGTCCTTCTTAGAACATGTTGCCGCTGTCTCCCAGCCCTGTTGCTTTGCTCTTCACAACATAAGAAAATGTAGGCCCTACCTTAGTCAGTACACCACCCAGCTTCTGGTACAGCCCATGGTTATCTCTTGCCTCAACTATTGCAATGCCTTCCTAGCAGGTCTCCCAGCTTGTGTGGTGAAACCCCTGCTGATGAGAATATTTCTTAAGGGGCTTTGTTGATGTAACAGGGAAAGGTAAGACAGGTCTAAGCTTAGAGTAATTTAGCTGACCCCATAGATGTTTTCTGACATTCTAGCTTTAGGTATTTCTCACGTGTACTTGTCAGGGAGACAACAATAGACTGATTAGTTAAAGACAGTAGCTCAGACGTCAGGCTAGCAGATATCAATGTTCTCTTACAAGGTTGAGTCATACAAGAATTTTTACAAGAACTCACTGGCTCCACAGATTAGAGTACAACTCATGGACAGTGAGTCCACTATGACAAAGCATTCTAAACATAGATTAGTTGTTCTAGGTGAAAGATGACCTAATAGAGAAACTTACAGGCACTAAGGGGAAGAGAGAAGCATAAAAGGGACCAAAAGATGTTTCAGATTTGGTGTTGGCATTTGACATGTTGTACGCTGGCACTGTGTCTCCTCGGCCGGGCTCAATAAACCATGCTATGTTAAGTCTTCATCAGTCTCCGAAACTTCTTCACACCTGAACCTGGCTCACAATATTTCTTCAACACCTACAAATGGTTCAGATCACATTGGTGCGTGTCAGGTTCATACATCTATAATATCAGACAAGGAAGAAAGACAAGAGAGTTAATAGCTTTTTACTCGCGAGGAGAACGGACAGAGATGTACTCAGTTACAAACTCCAACCGCTCTGAGGTATCTCTTCCGTTTCCTCTCTTTTTATTATATTCAGGGCGTTCCCTAGTTACATACATGTTGCTGCTCTAAGGGGAAAGGGGTTGCAGCAGCAACATGAAAAGTGATCAACTTGACATACATTATTGTACAGTACTGTTCCAGGAACTATGTACGTTAAGCTCAGTCGCTCCTCGGGGCCAGGTTATTTCAGTTGTCTGCTCCATGTGTCATTTCCTTCAGTCACACCATCGCTGTAGACTTCCTGTCAGTACATTTCTGCAGACAGACTTACACACTTGCATTAGTACACGTCTTGATATATATATATATATATATATATATATATATATATATATCTTGTTTCAGATTGCATGAGAAAAAAGCATGAAAACATTGAAAAGACTAAAATACACGTTTAAGATAAATATAAAATAAGTAAAATACAATAAAATAAAAGGGATAAAATAAAGTCAAATAAGATCGGGAAAGGCTCTCCTATAAAAGTATGTTTTAAGAAGGGACTTAAAAGAGTTCACTGACTCAGCCGACCTGATTTCCTCAGGCAGGCTGTTCCAGAGCCTCGGGGCCCTGACAGCAAACGCTCTGTCCCCTTTAGTTTTCAGTCGAGACTCTGGAACAGACAACAGACCTCTGCCCGAGGATCTCAAGGTACGTGCTGGTGCGTATGGGACTAATAGGTCAGAAATATAACAAGGTGAGAGGCCACGAAGAGCTTTAAAAGTGATCAATAGAATTTTAAAGTCAATTCTAAAACATACTGGGAGCCAGTGTAATGAAGCTAAAATAGGAGTAATGTGGTCATATTTCTTTGTTCTGGTTAAAAGCCTGGCAGCTGAGTTCTGGACAGTCTGGAGTCGATCAATAGATTTTTGGGTTAAACAGGTGAAAAGGCTGTTGCAATAATCCAGGCGTGATGAGATGAAGGCGTGTAAAATGGTCTCGGTGTCCTTAAAAGTTAACATAGATCATTAACATGTAAGGAAAGGAGACCACCTGCCTCTCTTCCCCTACAATAGGTACAAATAGCTCAAATCGCTCACAGATAGAACGGCTGACCCATAAAGCCCACTGAGCAGCTTACTCTGTCATTAACTAAACCTATAATTTACACTACCATAAACTGGTCAGGATCATAACTATACGCTGTTGTTTGAAAACTCAAGTTTGTCCAACTCAAACCCCCTGGTTTGCTAATTCCTGTCTAATTGCATCTATTTCTGCTGGGTCCATGTTAGCTAGATTATTCTGTTATGTCTCGTTGTGGGTGAACTCAAAAGCAGACACAGAACACTACAGACCAGCGGATAAAAGTTGTTGTAGAGGCTGGTGAGGTAGGTACGAGTAAGGGGTAGGCAGGTGAGCGATGGCGAGGTCCGAATCTGAAGAACGTCAGCAGCTGATCTGGCAGTCAGCTTGTAGGTAGCAGGATTCCTGAGGCAGAGGGTAAACACAACCGGTATTACTCGAGATGAAACGAACATGAAAGAAATAAGTACTAGAGACAATGAGCAATGGCAATGAGTCAAAGGAAGTCTGGAGTATTTGAGCTGGAAGTTGATTTACTGAATGCCGTCCGGTGTGTAACCCAAATAGAATTCATGCCCACCCCCCCCACACACACACACACAGACACACAAGAGGGAGGGGATACAAGGATTAACACCAGATATTACTAATTCTGAGTATTGTTGCCACAGTTTCGGCAGCTCGAATTGTTTTCAAGAGTTTGGTTCTTGTACCTGTTTGGCCATACAGGCAATTTTGTCAAAACTCTGTATGTGACTTTCACTTCTGCTTGTGTTTTCTCCACTTTCAATACTACCATTTTTACGTTTTGTGAATGAATTCTGTGTGCAAAGAGGTTTTTGTCAGACATTTCCTTTAACAGACTGATATAACATGTATGAAATTTAAACACCAGCTCTGCTGCACATTCACACAAAATCCCATCAACTACCTGTGTAGTAAACCCGTCATTAACAGATTCTAGGTTGCATCACTGTTGTCTCGGATGAATTAGTGAAGAGGAAAATATGTAATAATAAATGAGTATTAAATGTAGCAGTGTACTAGTTTTACTTTGTGAACCAGAACAACTTCTGTGACCTGTGTTAAAGTACATCATTGTAGCTGAATCCACACCACAGAAAGTATTGAAACTGGTAAATTTCTTATAAGGATATAACAGTTTTCTATCAAATATCTAATATCAAGAGTAAAATTTAGGGAACTTCTTTTCATCAGCATTTCCTGAAATAGGGTTATATATATTCTGATTTGTACTTGTACATTTTGTGTCATTTATTTGTATCTTCTTTTGTCTGTCTGTAATGCACTTTGTTTTCTGCAAAGTAATCATTCATTACCACTCACTATGAAGGTAAATATTGTTTAATTTCAAATACAAACTTGAAGTGTATTAAAAAGAAAAAAAGTGACACTATGTACAAATGTACTAATTTGGGGAAAAATGATAAAACAACAATAATGCATAACATTTTGCACATGGTGTGTACTGTATCTACATATTAATTACATCGAACAAACCTCAGATGGAAGCCCGGGGGAGGAGCTAGGTACAATTTATAATTGTTCCAGGGCAGAAGAAAACGAGGAAACAGGAATATGTTGCAAAGAAAAAGGGGATTTATTTACAATAATTAACAAAGTAAACAGAAAACAACTCCCAAAAAGTGAAGCGAGCAACAAGGGTCCTTTTTAAAGGGAACTAAGGCAATGGATAAACACAAACACAATAGTAGTGTAGGCAAACTAGCACATACAAGCACCCGGTGCAACACAAAAACACTAAATCACTACACTTAACCACAGGACTTCCACTGTTGTAACTGTCGGTTACTGTCTCTGCCAACTGCCACACGCTCGCCGCAGACTCCAAACACTCTCGGTAAACACCGTCTCTTTCACTGTAGACCACAATACTCTCACACACAGCAGCTTCCTTCTCCAGAGAGAGAGTGGAATCAGCCGCGCTCCTCAGCCTGCTGGCTGCAGCATTCGGGGCGGGGCAAGGTCCTGCTTAGGGCAGAGAGGAAAACACACAGAACATCCTATATACACATACAGTAAACGGCCCACGGGTCGTAACATTAGTCTGAGGCTGATGCAGGGGGGGTGATGGTATCAAGGCTGAAAATACTAATACAAAAATTACAGCAATAAAAGTGCAAATTTGCGAGGGGATGACTGTGGTTATTACTTTACTCTTCAATGTATAAATGTATACATTCACAATGTTCTTGGAGCATTCAAAGGAGTTGACACTAACACAGGTAAATCCAATCGACAGCTATTTGTTTTTTTACATTTTGCCAAGTGCTTACAAAAGAGAACAAGACAAATGAATGGGCAAGAAAACTAAGATCTCTGCTTTGCCAAATAATCATGTGTCTCTTTCATTCAGATCAACTAGTCCTCTAACGCCTGATTTACTGACACATTATTATGTTACTTCAGACCCCTGAGCCCTTCACAATAATACCACAAATGCAACAACGATAACAATCAGAAGAAGCAATAAAAACAATATTAAACTGTTGCAAGAATGCCAAATTATTGATTAAATAGGTACATTTCTTACAAACTGTTAAGCAGTGATGGGGACTTGAGTTTGAGACTTGGACTCGAGTCCGACTTAAGTCGCACACTATTGCACACACTACACACACAATATTGCTTAGCTGTTGATTAAATTAAATCCTTTTTAGGTGGTAGTTGATTGACACCCTGCAACTAAATCTTGAATCAAACAAAGTGAACAATGCAGTGAATCCTGTAAAAATATTACATCAATATAGAATTAACTGACAGGACTTTCCTCAGTGCTGCTGTCTTCTTTATGTGTCAATACTAAGTTTGAATTGTGATATTGTAGTAATGCTGCGAGGCAGAAGAGGGGTTTGTGGGACTGTTGGGAGTGGCATAAACAGCTCCTGAACCTGGCATCTGGGGGCGCTCCTGCATCTCTGCATTGGCACGATCCTTCCAGAGCAGAATGAAAAACAGAAGATGATTAGTTTATGCAGTCCTAACAATAAGCATCATACAAAGCTGCACTGGCTTCACTGCAGCCAGAACAGTCCTCATCTTTTCATCCAGACCATCATCAGGCCAGAGTTTTCTCTTACCCAGTGTAATATTTCAACATCTACACTGACACAGAGTTTGGCCCAGACAATCATTCATCCTCATGACATGGTGATGCCTTAACTTAGTGTCAAATATATCAATTAGTCTAACACTTGTGCCAAATACCTGCAAAACTTACATTCCCATCAGTCTCACCTGTATTGGGAGTTTATTGCTAATTAAAAGTTAGCTAACATGCTGTAAACTGTGGTAGGTTAGTTTACATCACAGCAAAAAATGGCGCAAAGATGATGTCAAGTTAAAGGTTCAGTGTGTAATATTTCTGAGGATTTATTAACAGAAATGCAATATAATATCCATAACTATGTTTTCAGTGGTGTATAAAGACCTTACCTAATGAACAACGTGTTCTCATCTCAATGCGTCATAACTGACGCTTTCAGGCAGCGTGACCAAGTATTTTGCGCTAAAGGTGCACAGCTGTAGGGTTAGCCGGTCGACATGCATAAAGTCAGTGACTTTATGTTTAGGTACTAACATTTCTGATGGTTATGATAAGGGTAGGGGGCTGTCAACACCTTTAACACAAACATAGAAAGCTAGCATCTGGAAGCATCTCACAGAAACTCCCCCGGCGCGTCTCATGGAGACACTGAAGGGTACCATTGGCGTCAAATATCAATGTTTTGTGAAGTGTTGGTATTGGACGCCCTGAGATGAGAACTGCCTGTAATGAGAATGAGATGTTTATAACTACATAACCGCGGGTTCCCCCTTACATGGATGTCACTGTACTACATTGAATGCGTACAGTCTCTCATATCAGCCAGCTAAACTTTTGCTGTGCTGGTAGAAAAAATATGTAGTTGGATTGTAATTTCATGTAGTTCTTCAATGTAAAAATTTCAGCATGTCATGTCCAACTAATGAGTCATTCTATGAAACGGGGGCCATCTGGGTCCGCAACATTTGATGAGATGCATAAGTTACAATAATATCCCAAAGTGTGTTTCCAAAGCTTAAAGCTATCAATTCAAGTGTTCTTGTTAGGATGATATATAATAAAAATACTATTTCTGAAGAATAACATACTATTTTTAAAGGTTTTTCATTAGTACATGTCCAATTTCACATGTCTGTACTGTACCAACAAGACATTTGCATCTAAAATATCGCCAAATAAGTTTAATAATTTTTTCAAACCATGATTATTTTCAGGATAATATTTGTGATATTTGATTTTTTTAAAATATTGTTTTTTTTTTTGCGTCCCTCAGTTTGACTTACCACCCCATCACACTAACTTGTTTTGTCCATAAAAAATGTACTGTTGCTTTAAATGACATCACAAAGAGGAAGTGCTTTTTGGTGCTGCCTAGAACAAAGGCAGGCATGTACTGAGATTGATTGTCATTGTTTATTTGTTAATTTGTTATGTTAGACAGGGTCCGTCAAGCTCAAACCAACCACCCCGTCACGCAAAATAGATTGGTAAAACTGATTTTTATTCATATTTTTACACTGTTAATACAAAGAAAATGATATTTCACATTGAATACATGTATGCTAGGTCAGGAATTTGACCACGTGGAGAACTGCAGCCATTTTAGGTAGAAGTTTACCACCCCGTCACAATAAAACTTGTGACGTGGTGGTAAAGGATGTGAAGGGGTGGTTCTGCTTCCTTTTGAAATTATTGTTACAGTTGATTAAATTGGAACCTACATGTGTATCTCAAAATATTAGAATATTATAAGAAATAATTTATAATACAGAAATGTCAACCTTTCGAAAAGTTCTGAAAAATGTTTTATGCACTTGGTCTGAGGTCCTTTTGCATTACTGCATCAATGCAGTGACATGGAGGCAAGCAGCCCATTGTAAACAGCATATTCCGTCACGCTCTCTACTTCTGGGCCCTTTGCTTTGCTCTCTGTCTCTTTCTCTAACTCCCCAGAACCTGCCATCCTCAAGCTCTCCACCAGGTGCCCTTGGCCTGACTGCTACATCCAAATATACACTTGGGGCGAGTTCAGCACTGACAAAACATAGCAAAACATTTTCTTCAACGGAAACGTTGGTGCCTCGAACACCCTGATGTGTACGCGCACTGCTTTTTCCTGCCTTTTTAACACCGTTGTGTGTACAAACTTATCGCAGCTGATTGGGTAACACCTGTGACACACCCACAAAACTTTAAGAAAACTTACCTCAAAGCCCGTTGTGGAATGTTGTTCAATCCGAAAACGTTGCAAAGAAACATGTTCAATCCGAAAACGTTGCAAACCACTGCAAAATGTTTTGAGATTGAACTCGCCCCTGTTCCCACTTTTCTCATTAGCCTTGACCCACTCTGCCCGCTCCTCAACTGCAACACAGTACAATAATTTACACAGATGTGTACACTCACCTCGTCGTTGTTCTGTGCTTCTTCATTTCTTGTGTTTTTTGAACGCTTAAATACTGGAAAGGAAAAGAGACAATGTAAGAAAGCAAAGAGAAAAAAGAAATTAACAAGCAGAAAAAAAGTAAGTGTTTTCATTTAATATAATTTTATGACTTCACCATTGTTTATCCCAAGAAATTGGTATAATACTGAAAGCTGAACAGTTATCAATGTCCAGACATGAAAAGGACAGTGCAGACCTTTTAATTAATGGATGTATGTACGCACTGTTTGCTAGCCCACCTCTTGCCATTAACTAAAAAGTGTGTATGTATGTGAATGTGCGTACATTTGTAGATGAGAACCAAATTAAGCCCAAACACCAGCACCAGCACAGCTATACGGACGACCTCAGCAATGGTTATAGTTTTAGTGTTATTATACGCATGTCCCAGCCCTAGAAAACAGATAAACAGATAAATTGTAAAAAAGCATAGAAAATAAAAAACACAATGAGGCAAACAAAATAAATATGTTTTTTAAAAATCACTCATTAATAACCTAGAAATATTCCATGATGAGCCTGTGACTGTAACTGACTTGTCAGGGTGTCAGACACAGACTTGCTTCTTCAAATAAGAATCAAACGGTTCTAATTATTTCTGTGGTCTGTATCCATTTTGGATGAAATGTGTTGCCGAAACTGTACAGGTGAAATAATTCTGTTGTTATTCATTAATGTAAACACTGACCTACAGTCATCACCAGTTTGTGGAAGAATGGGCTGCTTCGTGTTTCATCAGAGCTTTTTGCTCCACACCAGTATGTCCCAGTGTCGTCTGTTGTTACTTCTCTCACTGTTATGGTGATATTTCTCTTCTCTTTGTCCTCCTTCATGGAAAACTTCCCAGTGTTCTTGTTGCGCTGTGCGGTGCTTACTAGAGGTTGACATATAGATGGATCTTCTCCCTTACAGATGAATTTGTTTATCGGAGCACTATTTGGATATCGACACCAGTATGTAAGATTCTGTCCAACAGTTAGAGACTTTGTGAGGTTAGTAATATCTGTAGAGAGACAGAAAGACAGCAGGTCTATCAGTGACTGTAATGTAATGTGACTGTTAAAAACCCACTGTGTTTCAAAGACACCATAATTATCTGTGGGATTTAGATAAAAGCTCAAGTGTCAGATGTTTGCTGCTCACCTTCAACCTCCAGCTTTATCTTTCTGAGAGAAGCTCTGTAACTTCCTTCATGTGTTTCCACTCCACACCGGTAGACACCAGCATCATGTGAGGACACGTTACTGATGGACACGCTGAAGCTACTGTTGGTTTCTGTGAGAGTGAATGTCCCGTTTAACTTCAGAGAGGATTTTGTTGATAAAATATCCTCACAGATTAAACCGTTCTGTTTGCTGAAGAACTTGTATTTGTTTCCTGTGTAATCACATGTGATGGTGGTTGTAGCTGTTCTGTACGCAGTTTGATTAAATTGTCTCTGGCACATTTTTTTCTCTGCAAATAAAAAAGAAAGGTACAACATGAAATATGTCCATTACAGTATACATACTTGTCATGACTTGTAATGTGTGCTTTATGGCAAATTGGCATCAGGCATTGAAAGACACAAGCACACCAAGGTAGATTGGTGGTAACAGATTAAAAAAAGGAATATGTTGTTACATCTTTCTTTATTTGTTATTTATTGTTTTCTTAGTGATGTTTTGACAAATGTCACTGTGTCTTTGACACTGATAATAATAATCATTACTTTATTTGTGTTGCATTTTTCTTAAAGAGAAGCTACACAAAATTATTTTTGTGCTGTACACATAATCACATAGATTCTTGTTGGCATGTGATGTTAATTCAGGTGATTTCCAACAATGCAAATATTGTGTGTGAAAACCATAATGTAGTTGGCAAGACTCAGTGGTTGAGTCTAGTAAAACAGTTAAAGTGCTTTAACAAAGGACAAGAGTATTAAAAAAAGATGCAGCATATTTTACCAACTTCCAGTTTCACTTTATGGTCACTGGATGAGTCTCGTCGTGTAAATTTACAGGTGTAGTCCCCAAAGTCCTCAGGTTCAAGTTGTTTGATGACCACCCTGAGATTTTTATTGTTTGTATCATGGTACAGGGAAACTCTGCCTTTGTTTTCCCACACATCCTTTTTAGTGGTTTGTATGGTTGTGTTTTTGGGAGTAACTACAGAAATACTTTGATATGTTTCATGTTGTTTTGGATATTTGCAAGTGAATTCCACCCATCCTTCTTGGCATCTCTTCACTTCAGAATCTTCTACAGACTGTTCAGACGAGTCCTTACAGCCTGTAGATCAAAAACAAAAGTTCACATCATGTCAGATTCTGAAACCGTCTCAGAGCCGTAGTCTGAACCTGACAATTGCAGGTTTTACATGTTCACAATTAAACATGTGCAGGAGTGTGTTCCTCTCAGCGATTTGTCCTCATCAACCTATGGACTATGGATTTTAATTTCCCCAGTATCTCAGAGGAAATTCCTGCGTTTCTCATTCAGGGGAATTCAATCTCACGTTTTCTGATGGCTTTATACACCATATATGTATATATTTAAATATATATATATTGCTGCTATCAAAGTAATCGGGCTACCTATTGTGGCCACTGCTTTAGACTGTTCAGACTACAAATCCTGAAAATTGGACTGTCCTCAACCAAATTGGAGCTACATCTTTCATAGTTTTGTTTTGATAAAATCCTGGCATGACCGCCCTGTGACATGGCCTGACAAATGAATGGCATCGTTCCTTTTATTTCTACACTGCTCAAAAAAATAAAGGGAACACTAAAATAACACATCCTAGATCTGAATGAATGATATAATCTCATTAAATACTCCTGTCTTTACATAATTGAATGTGCTGACAACAAAATCACACAAAAATTATTAATGGAAATCAAATTTATCAACCCATGAAGGTCTGAATTTGGAGTCACACTCAAAATCAAAGTGGAAAACCACACTACAGGCCGATCCAACTTTGATTTAATGTCCTTAAAACAAGTCAGAATGAGGCTCAGTAGTGTGTGTGGCCTCCACGTGCCTGTATGACCTCCCTACAACGTCTGGGCATGCTCCTGATGAGGTGGCGGATGATCTCCTGAGGGATCTCCTCCCAGACCTGGACTAAAGCATCCGAAAACTCCTGGACAGTCTGTGGTGCAACGTGGCGTTGGTGGATGGAGCGAGACATGATGTCCCAGATGTGCTCAATTGGATTCAGGTCTGGGGAACGGGCGGGCCGGTCCATAGCATCAATGCCTTCCTCTTGCAGGAACTGCTGACACTCCAGCCACATGAGGTCTAGCATTGTCTTGCATTAGGAGGAACCCAGGGCCAAGCATATGGTCTCACAAGGGGTCTGAGGATCTCATCTCGGTACCTAATGGCAGTCAGGCTACCTCTGGCGAGCACACAGATGGCTGTGCGGCCCCCTAAAGAAATGCCACCCCACACCATTACTGACCCACCGCCAAACCGGTCATGCTGGATGGAGGATGTTGAAGGCAGCAGAACGTTCTCCACGGCGTCTCCAGACTCTGTCACGTCTGTCACATGTGCTCAGTGTGAACCTGCTTTCATCTATGAAGAGCACAGGGCGCCAGTGGCAAATTTGCCAGTCTTGGTGTTCTCTGGCAAATGCCAAACGTCCTGCACTGTGGTGCGATGTAAGCACAACCCCCACCTGTGGACGTCGGGCCCTCATACCACCCTCATGGAATCTGTTTCTGACCGTTTGTGCAGACACATGCACATTTGTGGCCTGCTGGAGGTCATTTTGCAGGGCTCTGGCAGTGCTCCTCCTGCTCCTCCTTGCACAAAGGCGGAGGTAGCGGTCCTGCTGCTGGGTTGTTGCCCTCCTGCGGCCTGCTCCACGTCTCTTGATGTACTGGCCTGTCTCCTGGTAGCACCTCCATGCTCTGGACACTACGCTGACAGACACAGCAAACCTTTTTGCCACAGCTCGCATTGATGTGCCATCCTGGATGAGCTGCACTACCTGAGCCACTTGTGTGGGTTGTAGACTCCGTCTCATGCTACCACTAGAGTGAAAGCACCGCCAGCATTCAAAAGTGACAAAACATCAGCCAGGAAGCATAGGAACTGAGAAGTGGTCTGTGGTCACCACCTGCAGAACCACTCCTTTATTGGGGGGGTCTTGCTAATTGCCTATAATTTCCACCTGTTGTCTATTCCATCTGCACAACAGCATGTGAAATTGATTGTCAATCAGTGTTGCTTCCCAAGTGGACAGTTTGATTTCACAGGAGTGTGATTGATTTGGAGTTACATTGTGTTGTTCTGACAAGTGGTCCCTTTTTTTTTTTGAGCAGTGTATTTCTGATAAATAATATAACATTATTTGAATAAATAGACATTACACTATAAATTTGAAGCTTTTTATGCTCATAGACAAAACTTTTGTCAGGCCACAGTCAGTCCTGTCACATTAAATATTCTGTTAAAAAAATTCATATTTGAGATAATATTGATTAATTAATTGTCTTAACTGTGTAGATGAAGGTGGCGGTACATACCCACCATCATGTGTTTGTAAAATATCCTGTTAAAGTATTTTTTTTTTTACAACTATGTAAGTGCCTGACAGGTTTTCTGGACTTTCCATTCACTACATTTGACCAAAACATTGCTTATATTTCTTATAGAAATTATAATACCATGTTAGAGACAATCAGGGACATGTAATCAATAAGAAAATACTATTTGTGTCAAACTAATTCATTAGAAAACCATTCTAACATATACAAATTTGTCTGTGACAGGGCCTGACAATTTAGGTGTGAAATGCGTTTAAAAATGTATTTTATTCAAAAAGAAAAACATGATGAGATGGCACGATATGCGTTTCACGTAGTTTAAAGTGTCTACCATATGACTCAATGTTCAGATTAAAGAATAAAATCCATTTTTCTCCAAGATATTTAGAAGTGGAATTGTACGTTTCTGGTAGAATGTCCCTTGTACAAAAATGATATTTCCTGTTCAACAAATTACTTCATACATACTTCTAATCCTCCTTTAACTACTGTACTGGTTTATAAATGAGTTATAGTGAATGAGTGTAAATATAGTACACTGTGTTTTCACACTGTATTTTTGAAAATTTTCACCTGAGTTTTGTATTGTGTTGCAGTTTCCTGAGTAATGGAGCTGGACAGTATGGCAACACAATATACTGAGGTAGGATTTCAAGTCACATTACAGGTAAACGACACTAACACAAAAGAATGAAACCAGACCACAGAACATTCATCAGTAATATCAGTAATCAAGCATTCGTAATTGTTTTACCTGCCATCAGTAAGAGGATGAGCAGAAGAAAACTCCGCATTATGTTGGTTTTGAATATTGAGTTCCTCAGTTAAATTATTAAACTCCAGCTGGTTATTTCAGTTTCTTCTGATGCGTTTGTCTAAATTTGGCTGGTCTCCAGCGTTGTGTTTCCTAAACTTCTGTCGGATGTAAAAAAAAAAAAAACTCTCGCCCCCTTTCTGGCTCTCGCCCCCTTTCTGGGTGTCCTTCACCCGTTGCTTCATTTTCCTTCCTCATTATATCTGGCTTGTGGGCATTGGCAGTTAGTCAACAGGAAATACGTGGAGAGAGAGAGAGAGAGAGAGAAAGAAAAATACATAAACACAATACGTAATAGAAAAAACATATGAGGAGGAGACATGGGACTTCATAATTTTTCATTATTTGGCGTTGATTAAATAACTAAATTATATCATGAATCTGCACAAATGTGAAAACAAGTGAGTGAGAGAATAAAATGACTCATGGAAACAAGATGTTTTAGGGGAAGTTGGTGATTTCAGCTGCGTTAATGGCACGAGACGCCAGAAGCTGTTACGAGCTAACCAACTTCATCCCAAGAAATAAGGGAACTGACAACAACAGTGATGGTGACTGTAAGTCTGACTATTAAAATGATAAAAAATAATGAAACATCCCCTACTGTCCACTTGTGGTTGTTGGCAAGTTCTGTAATGTGATTAATTTCCTGCCAACAACAACAACCACAAGTAACTGGTCCTGATGACGTGGCATGTTATACATTTCACATTTCATTATATTTTATTGTTAAACTATTTTAAATGAACTGATCTATAAAAATCTCATATGACTGCCCATCATTTTACCTTCTCCATCACCTGTTGTCAAGGTTTATCGTCAACAACATCAGTGTAACATGTTACTTTTTTTACTTTTTTGCCATTTACACCTTTAATGGACATTTGGGGGAGAGACAGGAGATGAGGGGTGTGACATGCTGCAAAGGTCCCCTGATGGAGTCCATGTTGTAGTTATATGGTATTGATTTTCAGTAATTTCCTTTCAGTAACTGCTGAAAGCTTTAGTACTGTATAAATACACCATAATGATGCACTGAATTCTAAATTCACTGTCTAATTGACGTAGCTTATATAGCGGTCTAACTGATGACTAATCTATTCTTTGGCGTCAGACGTTAGACGTCTATTAACTTTTCACTGACAACCCAAATTCAGCCCTGTTTTAGCCTAGACGTCGGGCCATGTTTAGATTACTACTAGATGTCTTTTAAACGCAAAATTGCTGGCTGGGAAGCTAGCTCAGTATTCAGGACAGATGGACTACTTAGATTGGACTAGTAAGTAATAACTTAGCTGGCTTGCTATGTCTTGTGTTGTTTGTCTTGTTTTGTGTTTGCCTGTGTTAGCAAAGTTGGTTGGTTCAAATTCTATGTCTCTGGGCGATCCTACAATGTTTCTTGGCAAGGACAATTGACCCTTCGCTAAGCCCCGACCCTCTTAGTTACTGTTACTAAATGTTGTCAAATTTGTTGGGAAAAGCGATCTCAAAAAGAAGCAGACAGTTTTGCAGTTGCATTATACATTTGAAGGTTGTATTCAGACTGTCAAACTGACTCAAATTGATTTAAACTGACGTGAAAAAAAAAAAGAAAGATAGAAGCTAAAGCCTACTGATTACACAGTACAAGTGAACCACCACATCCCCCGACAAAGACAACGATATTAAGGATCAACACTGTTCCTGTAAAGCTGGGTAGGCCTCTATTCATTATTACAATCATTAAGAAGCAGAACAGCAGGACTTTATTACGTTACATTCAGTAGGAAGTTAGCTAGTGTTAGCTAACTAACATTACGTTAGGAACAATATTTTAGGTTTTGGAAAGAGAATAAATCGTACTTCTCCTATCAACCTCTCTGGGTAGCGACTATAACAATTACTACTAAGTGCCCCAGGAACGGCTTTTGACCACATCTTCATCAGCCAAAAAAAGCTTGAAAACGACTCTTTTCGCATTACTGTGAATGGAGCGCATCCATGAAAGTCTCGGACTACAGTTAGAGCGAGTCCTATACTACGCTGTGATTGGCCAGCTATGTATTCGGGGAATGGCTTAGCGAAGGGTCAATTGTCCTTCTCTCACTGCCTCTCCACAAAGGTCACCCAACGCTCAGTGCTAGGGCCCCCTCTTTTCCCAATTTACATCACCTCACTAGGGCTGATTATTCACTTGGCTTCTCTTACCACTGCTAGCAGGGCCGGCCCGTGAGCGCCTGTGAGTCGCAGACAGATTGTGACAGAGTAATAACGTAGGTGGTAGTTTTACGAAATAAAAGTGTCATAACTGGACATGTCAGAGAATAAAGATGTAGGAGAGATTCTGAATGTGCAGAAGGTTTTGAACAGGAGCAGAACACCTGCTGAAACACAGGAGCTATAACAAAAATTATAATAATAATAATAATTATTAAAATTGATGTGAAAAGGTGCCAGGGCTGCACATTTAAAGAGGTTACTTCCCTAAACAAAACAGAAAAGAGGTGGGAAGACTAAATAATGTGCTAAAACACAGCTTAGTCATGACAGCAAAGGTTACTCACATAATCACTTCCTCTTAAGTGATTGTGTCATGTTTAATTGAGAGCGTTTAATTTGCACTTAGCAGAAATTTTATTGAGTGAGAAAAGTGGATCTACAGAAGAAAACGTTTTTAAAGGCAATAGTTAGAGAATGCCTGAGAGCCTTTCTGCATTTTCACCTGTGGCTAAATTTTGTGTTTCCCTTTATGTAAATTAAGACATTTGCACCATAAACAGAATGCAATATAAATTCTCACTTAGGGCTCCAACACTCTCAGGCCCTGCTACATAGACGATACGCAACACTATCTGTACTTCCCGCCCACCAACTCCACCTTCTCAGCACAGATCACTGAGTGTTTCTTGGACATATTTGCATGGATGAAGCACTTCTATACTAGATATGATCAGTCTATCTTTATCAACAGGCTATGTACCACAGTATTTTAAAGTAGCTGTAATTACACCTCTTCTAAAAAAGCCCCAACTTGATCTGGATGTGTTAGCCAACTATAGACTACTAACTATATCTAACCTTCCATTTCTCTTTAAGATCATGGAGAAAGCAGTTGCAAAACAGCTGTGTGACTTTCTACAGAGCAATAGTTTATTTGAGGATTTTCAGTCAGTTTTCAGAAAATTACTAACAACCTCCTTATTGCATCAGACAAAGGACTTGTCTCTGTACTGGTTTTATTAGATCTTAGTGCTGCATTTGTTACCATTGACCATCAGATCCTATTACAGAAACTGGGACATTTCATTGGCATTAAAGGAACCGCTCTAAGCTGGTTTAAGTCCTATTTATCAGATTGATTTCTGTTTGTACATGTTAACGATAAGTCCTCCATACACGCCAAAGTTAGTCATGAAGTTCCACAAGGATCTGTCCTCGGACCAATCCTCTTCACTTTATATATGCTTCCTTTAGGCAATATTATCAGGAAATATTCCATAAGCTTTCATTGTTATGCAGATGATACTCAGTTATATCTATCGATCAAGCCAGATGAAACTCATCAGTTAGCTAAACTTCAAATGTGCCTTCAGGATGTTAAAACCTGGATGACCTGTAATTTTCTAATGTTAAACTCAGATAAAACTGAAGTTATTGTTCTGGGGCCTAAGCACCTCCGTGACGCATTATCTAAAGATATAGTTTCCCTTGATGGCATTGCCCTGGCCTCCAGCACCACTGTGAGGAATCTTGGAGTTATCTTTGATCAGGACATGTCGTTTAAGTCTCACATTAAGCAAATTTCAAGGACCGCCTTTTTTCACCTACATAATATTACATTAATTAATTTAACTGACCCTTTTATCCAAAGCGACTTACAATTGCTATACACGTCAGAGGTCGCACACCTCTGGAGCAACTAGGGGTTAAGTGTCTTGCTCAGGGACACAATGGTGGATGTCTCACAGTGGGAATTGAATCCCGGTCTCCCACACCAAAGACAAGCATCTTATCTATGCACCATCACCAATATTGCGAAAATCAGGAACATCCTGTCTAAAATTGATGCAGAAAAACTAGTCCATGCATTTGTTGCTTCTAGGCTGGATAACTGCAATTCCTTATTATCAGGCTGCTCGAAAAAGTCCATTAAGAGTCTTCAGCTGATCCAGAATGCTGCAGCACGTGTTGTGACAGGAACCAGGAAAAGACATCATATTTCTCTTGTTTAGGTTCTCTGCATTGGCTTCCAGTAAAATCTAGAATAGAATTTAAAATCATTCTTCTTACCTACAAAGCTCTTAATGGTCAGGCACCATCTTATCTTAAATAGCTCATAGTACCTTAGTACCCCACCAGAGCACTGCGCTCCCAGAATGCACCTGTGGTTCCTAGAGTCTCCAAAAGTAGACTAGGAGCCAGAGCGTTCAGCTATCAAGCTCCTCTCCTGTGGAACCAGGTTCCAGTTTGGGTTCAGGAGGCAGACACCATCTCCACATTTAAGAGTAGGCTCAAGACTTTCCTCTTTGATAAAGCTTATAGTTAGGGCTGGCTCAGGTGAGTCCTGAACCATCCCTTAGTTATGCTGCTATAGGCCTAGACTGCCGGGGGATTTCCCATGATGCACTGAGCTCCTCTCTCCTCTACTTTCTCTCCCTCTGTATGCAACCTCATCCCATTATTGCATGTTACTAACACAACTTCTCCCTTTTCTGGTAGTCTTGTGCTTTCCTCATCCCTCTCCTCTCTCCTCCTATCACTTCCTGCAGGTTTTCTGGCTCTGGAGCTGTGGATTCTGGATCACGGGTCACCTGCTGCCCCCGTGTTCCTGCTCGACACCCTCTGCTGCAACGACTATTGTTACTAGTCCTATTGTTATTATTGTTATTATAATCATTAACATTACGATTGTTATCATTCCTTTCAGAGCACGAGCTGCAGCATTCTGAATCAGCTGAAGAGTCTTAATGGATTTTTTCGAGCAGCCTGATAATAAGGAATTGCAATGTAATATTATGTAGGTGAAAATAGTCCTTGAAATTTGCTTAATGTGAGACTCAAAGATAACTCAAAGATTCCTCACAGTGGTGCTGGAGGCCAGGGCGTTGC